TAACAGTTTCCACCAATTTACCTGGTATCGACATCAGATTGACTGGTCTGTAATTTCCCGGATCTCCTCTGGAACCCTTTTTAAACATTGGAGTGACATTAGCTGCCTTCCAGTCCTCAGGAATGGAGGCAGATTTTAATGAAAGATCACATATTTTTTGTCAGGAGATCCACAGGTTCACATCTGTATGCCATACAGGCCTGGTGATTTATCAGGTTTTAAGTTGTCTGTCAGACTTAACAACATTTGTGGCAGGGGAGGAGCTTTCGTGAGTCACTGCTCGCTTCTTCAGGTAGCTGAAGAAGCGAGCAGTTACTCACAAAAGCGCATGCCCTGCCACAGATTTTGTTAGTCTGTAAGGCAGGGGTGTCGAACTCATTTGTTATGAGGGCCAGATCTGACATAAATGAGACCTTGTCATGCGTGTCATAAAATGTAATGCCAGGTAGTGAAGATATAAATTTAATAAAAGACAGAAATACAAAGGGTTTTTTTAACTTAAAATAAAAACATGCTGAAAACATTAGCTCTGTAAGCTGCAAACCTACTTTTGATTTATTGATGTTCGCCACAGAAATCTCATGCTCAGAGTTCTGAGTCTAGGACCCGGGTTAAAACATGAGATGGCTGAGTGATTAAGAGAGTCTGGTGAAGCAAGCGATGACGCAGCAGCAGAACTAGGAATCCCAAGTCCCCCCGGGGGGGCGGGGAAATCCCCGCCCCAGAGACCCTTTCCGTGGTGCTGCTGGATCGGGCCCCGGGGGGAACTCCACCCCGACGTGTGCGTCACCCGGAAGTGGTTTTCCCTTGTATGGCCGTGGCCCCGCCCCCAGCGTGGCTGGTGTCCTCCCGTCACTTCCGAGTGACGTGCGCACGCACAAGACGCTGGCTGGGAGCCCCCCGCTCCCGGCAAAGATAGACTTGGCAACCCTAAGCAGAACTGGAAGCAGGAGATGGCCAGTTCCACTGTGGGCCTGATGGAAGCCCTCTGGGGGCTTGATCCAGCCCCCGGGCCGCATGTTTCACACCCCTGCTTTAAGGTGGTACTGGACTCTCTTCCTCTTACCTTCTAAAGCCACCCTGAGCCTTTGGGGTAGGGCAGGATATAAATCCAAATAAATAAATAAAATAAATAAAATAAGCACATTGACTTCAGCGGCTTTAGAAGGGTGTAACTCAGCTTGTGCGCTCACAGTCTTATTGGGCGGTTCATCTGTCGTCCTTTCCTTCTCTTCCTGATTATTTTTCCTTAAGAAGGCATTTCCTCACTGTGGTTTCTCCCCTTCTAGGACGAAGACCCTGATACGAGCTGGGTCCTTCTTCTCGAAGACGACTTGATTGCCCTCCTTTCTCAGTTTCCCTTCCACGAACTCTTCCAGCATATGCTCAGGTTTGATAGCAAAGGCAAGTAGCTTCCAAAACAGTGTTTGTCTTTTGAGAGGCAAACGATGTGGAAGTGTCAAAAGGAAACGTATAAATGTGGAAATGTGGTTATGCCTGCATGCAGTTTGGTGTAGTGGTTAAGTGTGCGGACTCTAATCCGGGAGAACCGGGTATGATGCCCCACTCCTCTGCTTGCAGCTGCTGGATGACCTTGGGCAAGCCATAGTTCAGTCAGAGCTG